ATAAGCTTTCGTGGACTACAGCCCACTTCTTGGGCTGTAGTCCACGAAAGCTTATGCTCTAATAAATTTGTTAGTCTCTAAGGTGCCACAAGTACTCCTGTTCTTCTTTTTGTTTATCATTTGTTTACTTTGTGCCTAAGCTGTTCCCAAACTCCATTTCTTTTGTAGACATGTGGTAGTGTTAATGAGGTGTTAATGGGTTTGTAGGGGAGGCGATTATAGAAGTTTGGCTTTAATCAGTGGTGTTATTTTCATTTTCTTTGCTTTGAGAGGCTGTTTACACCATAAGTGGTTGTTGGCTTACTCCTGTAGCTGGGAGAACTTTATAAAACAATGTGGGGGTAAAACTCCCACTGATTTCAATGGGGGCAGTATTGATCCTTTGATTAGAATGTTTGAAGAGCAAAAACATTTTCCCAAGACACACAAGTTTTGTACTGCTTTAACTAGCGGTTTGAGACTTGTATAGTTAAGGTATTACAACCCCTTAGTATGGATGCAATTATACCAGCATAAAGGTATAAATATAGGGGGATAAGCTACACTAGAGTAACTGTGGGCACAATAGCATTTGAATCTATTTTAAACATTGCACCCCTAACAGAAATAGTTAAATCAATACATAATCTCTGTGCAGACAGGATACAAATTTTGAGGTCTTTAGCCCTCTTCCTTGTGAAGACAGCTTTGAATTTGAATATAAAATGTAAATTGGAAGCTTCTTCTTGTGATTTCTAAAAAGCAGGGTTGATTCACACTGCGTCCTCCATCATTACCACAGCTGCTCTTTGGGAGTCAGGAAACTGGGAGCCAAGAGTCCTATGGACTTCTAGTAGGGTTGTGAAAAGGAGGATGTCTTTGGGTTTTGTGTTAACTTGGTGGGAAATTGTCCAAGTGAAATCAGTCATGGAAGACAGCACAGTTGAACTCAGAACTTTGCCAGTTTTTTGAAAAATAACCTCATTTTAGTTCAGCTAGCTCAGCGTCAATTAAGCATGTTTGGAATGGTTTGCTGTGGGGCCCTAGCAATAGGGGAAATGGAATTTTGTGGGTTTTGTGAAGTTTGCCCCTCACCACAGAGGAGTATTTGTAGCTAGGGAACTAGCAACAATTGCTTGTTTTTCAATAGTGGTGTTCTCACCCTTTTAGAGCAAACTATGTTAGAATTAAGCGCAGATAAAACTTCCGACTGGTCCTCCTTGGAAGTTAGGGAGGAAAAGAAGTATTGGCATTTGCTCACACCATCCTCACAAGCAGAAGATGATACCAAGCTAGAATGAAGACTCAGTTGAAAGCAATGTTTCCATCAATATGGTGGGGCAGCAAGGATTCCTGATTTTCCCGCCAGTGGCCCAGATGTCACTCCCAGGATAGGCACGCTCTCGTAACTGTTCTGATACCTAAGGGATAACTGATGAAAGGGAGAAGCTGTCATAACTGAAAAATAATCCACTCTTAATGAAAAGAAGTTGAGGGAAAGAAGAGAGATTTGCCAAACCCCAGCATTGAATCCAGGGACCTTCAGGGTATGTGTATGCTGTGATCAAAAACATGCAGCCCCGAGTTTCAGAGCCCAGGTCAGTTGACCTGGGCCTATGGGGCTCGGGCTCCGGAGCTATAAAATAGTTGTGCAGACATACAAGCACGGGCTGGAGTCATGTTTCTGAGACCCTCCCTCTTTGTGGGGTCTCAGAGCCCGGGCTCCAGCCCAAGCCCAACTATCTACACTGTAATTTTATAGCCTCGCAGCCTACGCCCTGCAAGCCTGAGTCAACTGACCTGGACCAGCCACAGCTGTGCCACAAGTCTTTTACTGCAGTGCAGATATACCCTTAGATGTTGAGGAGAAGAAGAGAGGTTTGCCAAAACCAAGCATTTAATCCAGGGCTAATGCTCTTCCAAACAAAGTACTTTGGCAGCTGCTGTGGTTTGGTTCGCTTTAAGGCATCACAGATGTAGTCATTCTACCCAGAGGATGTAGTGAAGATTGGGCTTTCCCCCCTCTTGCTTGATTGATTTACTTTTACACATCATTCCTGCAGCTCCTACTTTTTGTTAGAAAAGAAAATGAGACTGGATAAAAGACCCCAGCCTGTAAAGGCTGGTGGTGGCAAAGCACAAACTTCTGTGAGGTCACTTGCTCACCACCTTTTGTTTAGTGGGCTGTTGTCAAGGCATAAGGCTTCTGTAAAGGTTCTGCCTCACCTTCTCTTGTGTTCAGGGTTGATATTAAGTCATGGGCCTCTGTAAATTGATTACCTCACCCATCTCAAGAGGCCTCTTTTTTGTTCCGTGTCCCCATATGTGAGACAATCAAAACCCTTGATGAGCAGCAGTAAAAGACTGTTTCTGCCTGGTTTTGCACAATGAATCTTTCATGTATTAGGCATGGTAACTGCTACTCTAGAGAAACTGAGCAATTGAGCTTGTTCAGGACCCCTGGGGCTTCTTGGTTGTATTAGATTAAGTGGGGGGAAAGAAACAAGAAAGCTAAGTTGATGAAATAACAGAAATGGGGATCACACATCTCAATGGCTGGGGCGTGGAGGAGGAAAATCTACTTGCCAATTGTCAAAACATGATTTTTTCTCTTCCCTGAAGTTGAAGCAAAAGCCATAGTGTCTCTGCCTGATTATGGACTGAGGAGC